AATGGCCCAGATCGTAATGTAGCACAAGTTCTGAGGTATTTGGTTCCAGAGTCTGGGTGCAGTGACCCAAAAGGCCCGGTCACCCCAACGTTTGTACTTTGGAACAAACAGTAAATAAGTATTAGTTGATCTTAAGGTTCTCGTATACTTAAGCTACTAAATCAGCTAAATAAGGTGGAGTGAGACCGTTCAAAGCTTTAAATATTTAAGAAATTTTTTTTTAATCAAATTTAAAATGGAAGCCAAACAAGAGAGAATCAACCCGGGGTGATGTGCTCAAGTGTGGGGTGTTGGTTAAAGATAGCCGGCAACGTTTTGGACCAGCTGGGACTGGATGGAGGACTGGATGGAGGACTGGGAGATTCCTACATGCAGAGCATTGCAGTAGTCGAGCCATGAGCTCATAAAAAATGAGTGGCCTTTTCCAGGTCCAGACGATTTAAAAAAGGTTTAACTTTGGTAAAAAGATGTAACTGATAAAAGCTGTCTTTGACTACAGAGGTTATATGTTGATCAAACTTCAAATCCTTGTCAAAGGTCATCTCCAAACTTTTAACTGTGGGGCTGAACTCTGATGTCAGAGCACCACAGCTACAAGGAGCCTCATCAGCAAAAAAAAAAAAAAAAAAAAGCCTGTGCCAGTTCACACATGGAGAACTCCACCTGCACTACTGGATCAACTGGGGCCCGGGTTAACAACGACCAGACAAGAACGCAGCCAAAAAGCAAAGAAGGCAGTTATTAGAGTTATGGTGTATATTGTTTAAAAGTTCTTGAACACAAACGGACAAAACATGTTTTATTTATAATAACACCAGTATTATGGGCAGAAGGGTCCGAATCAGTGGTCCCAGGGTTCAGTCTCTGCTCTTTGCAGATTGTGTGGTCCTGTTGGCGTCACCGTGATCTCCAGCTCTCACTGGAGCGATTCAACAGCTGGGATGAGCATCAGCACCTCCAAATCCAAGGCCATGGTCCTGAGTCATAAAAGATTCTGCCTCAAGTAGAGGAGTTCAAATATCTTGGGTTGTGGTGAAGAGGGAGCTGAGCTGCAGGAAGATCACAGGTCGGTTCACCTGTCGGTCTATGTTCCTACCCTCACTCTGGTTCTAAACTCTGGATTCAGGACTATAGGTGGGACTCCGGGTTTGAAAGAACAAGATCCTGGATCCCAGACATCTAAATGAGTTTCCTCTGCAGGGTAGCTAGACTCTCCCAAAGAGATAGGGCGAGAAGTTCAGTTCTACAGGAGAGAGTCAGAGTAGAACTGCTGCTCCTCCACATCCAGAGGAGCCAGGTGAGGTGATTCAGACATCTGGTAAGGATGGACACTGGATGCCTCCCTGGGGAGGTTTTCTGGACATTTACAACTAGGAGGAAGACCTGGGACACCCAGGAGAGACTGTCTCTCTGCTGGTCTGGGAACACCTTGACGTCCTCCAGAAGAGCTGAAACAGGTGGATGTGGAAAGAGAGGTCTGGACCTCCCTGATCCAGCTGCTGCCCCAAGACGTGAGTCCAGAACCAGATGATGGATGGATGGATGGATGGATGGATGGATGCATGGGTAAATGTATGGATGGATGTTGGATGAATAGATGGATGGATGGATGTTGAATGGATGTTGGGTGTTCGATGAATGAATGATGTTGGATGATGATTGATGGATGTTGGATGGATATTGGATGGATGTTGGAAGTTGGATAGATGGGTGGATGCTGGAGGGATGGATAGATGGCTGTTGGATGATGTTGGATGGATGGCTGATATTGGATGG